GGACTTCCAAGTGTCCGAGGACGGAATTCTTAAGTTTCGAGGACGGTTATGCGTGCCCGATGATTTGGGACTTAAGGAAAAGATTCTATCGGAAGCTCATAGGAGCAGTTATAGTATTCACCCGGGCAGCACAAAAATGTACCAGAATCTCCGACAACACTATTGGTGGAACGGAATGAAAGCGGATGTGGCCAGGCATGTGGCTAAGTGCTTGACGTGCCAACAAGTGAAGGCACAGCATTGTAAGCCTGGTGGGATGTTGCAGCCGTTGGAAATCCCAGAATGGAAATGGGAGCACATTACAATGGATTTTGTAACGGGACTGCCAAGAAGCCAGAGGGGACACGACTCTATTTGGGTGATAGTGGACAGGTTGACCAAGTCAGCGCATTTCCTGGCGGTGCGAAAAGACTTCGAGCTAGAAAGGTTGGCAGAGTTATATGTGCGTCAGATAGTTCGCCTTCATGGAGTACCGGTATCAATCACATCGGACCGTGATCCCCGGTTTACTGCGAATTTTTGGAAAAGTCTGCAAGTGGCCATGGGGACTAAGTTGCAATTCAGTACGGCCTATCATCCTCAGACGGACGGCCAATCTGAAAGGACGATTCAGACATTGGAAGACATGCTGCGAGCATGTGTTTTGGATTTTAAGGGCGGTTGGGAGGAACAGCTGCATTTGGTCGAATTCGCCTACAACAATAGCTACCAGCAGAGTATCAGAATGACACCATTCGAAGCACTATATGGCAGGGCTTGCAGAACACCGTTGTGTTGGGATGAGGTAGGAGAAAGAAGTATAACGGGTCCAGAGTTGGTTCAGCAGTCAGTGGAAACAGTAAAAGACTATCCGGGAAAGGTTGAGAACAGCTCAGAGCCGTCAGAAAAGTTACGCAGATCGAAGGCGTAGACCATTGGAGTTTCAAGTTGGCGACCATGTATTTCTTAAGGTCTCGCCGATGAGAGGACTATCTAGGTTTGGCAAGAAAGGGAAACTAAGTCCAAGGTATATAGGCCCGTTCGAGATTTTGGAAAGGATTGGGACGTTGGCCTATCGTCTCGCCTTGCCGCCGAATTTGTCGCAGGTTCATAACGTCTTCCACGTGTCGATGTTGAGGAAATACGAACCGGACCCGACCCATGTGCTAAATCATGAGGTGGTAGACGTGGACGACAGGGTGTCGTACGTGGAAAAGCCAGTGCGAATCGAGGACAGAAAGGAGCAAGTTTTGAGAAACAAGATGATCTCGTTAGTCAAAGTTGTCTGGGAACATCACGGGACGGAAGGCGCCACATGGGAAAGCGAGGAAGTGATGCGACACCAATACCCCCATTTGTTCGAGTAGTCGGGTTTGGATTGTAAATTTCGAGGACGAAATTTTTATAAGGGGGGAAGAGTTGTGACATCCCGAATTTCGGCCCATTTTTTGGGATTTATAAAACGCGTAATTTGTCAGTGTGCTTATAGTAAAATCTCGCCCGGGAACTGATCACTCCCGGTTATCATTTTAAATTAGAGATTTCGCTAGAATCGCACTCGATCAAATTTGGCCGTTATTTGGATCCCGAACTTGGCAGTCGATTTCCGGGAGTTTCGGGACAAAATAAATTGAACGGTGTCAATATTATGGTAGCCAACGTTGAGATTGTCAGGAATGATGGAAAAATGGGAGTTTTTGACCACGTGCGAATTTGGACTAGTAGACCTCCCTCGTTATGATTTGGTCTAATTAATTTGGCCTTTGTCCCTTTTTATGTGCGAGGCTTATTTTGGACCCGTAGACCACTTTCGGTTTTTAATTTGGGCCATCGGATCGCGATTAATATTTGAATGTTCAAATATTTTCTTTTATCCTCTCTCTCTCTCTCTCTCTCCTCTGCCGCGCATGTCCTCTCCGCGCACGTCTCCCCCTGCCCACGTCCCTCGCTTCACCCACTCCCACCTTTCTTCTCTCTCTCTCGTTTCTTTTCCTTCTTTCTTTTTCTTTTCTTCTTTCTTTCTCTTCTTCTTCTTCCTTCTTCCTTCCCGAACTCGCTTTGGTTACGCCGTTCTGCTCTGCTCACCGGCTTTGCTCGACCGCCCATCCAGCTCCGCCCGACGCCACCCTACCAGCCGCCGACTCCGCCGTCCTCCTCGCACCAGCGTCGCGCCGCCGCGCCGCGCGGCAGCTCCGCTCGACGCTGCTTCCTCCCCTCCCGAGCGCACGAGCTCGGCACGTCGCCGCTCCACCGGTCGCCGCCGCCGGCAAGCTCGGCCGCCGTCGCGCCCTCCGCCCGGCCGCCGCCCAGCCTCGCCTTCTCCTCCCTCGCGCGCTTGGCCAGGCAGGCTCGCCTTCTTTGCCTTTCGCTCCCGGCCGCCGCTTGTTCGTCGGCTCGCCGCCGGGCCCAGCGTCGCCGTCGCCGCCTCCGGTGCTGCCAGTCGCCGCCGTGTTCCACCACAAACAACCGGCAAGCCCCCTTTCCCTCCCCTTTCTCTCTCTCTCTCTCGGTTTGGCCGTGAGAGGCCTTGAGCCGGAGGAGCTCCGCCGCCGCCGTCACTGTTCCGGCGCGGATCCGTCGCCTCGCCCGGCCGTCCAGCCGTTCCATTTCCCTCTCTATCTCTGACCGTGCCCCTCTCTCTCCCTCTCTAGGCCGTGGATTAGCTTAGACCGTCGCCGTCGCTCGCGCATGCGTTCGCGGAGCCGCCGCCGCCGCCGTTCGTTCCGGCGAAGGACCGCCGTGTCCAGCCGCCATTACCACGTGTTCAGCTTCGGTTTGAAGCTTAGGACATCCGGTGAGTTTGACCCTAAGCCCTAATTAGGACAATTTGCATTTCTTGACGGGTTTTAGGGGTTAATTAGGTTAATTTAGGGGTTAAACGGTGGAGGCTGTTAGGGGCTGTTATCGTGGCTGTTTTGGTGGTGAGTCGTGATGATTTAATTGAGATTTAGAGTCCCGTATTATGCTGTGAGTCGGCTGAGCTTGGGTGCTTCGATTCGGATCGAATTTGTGGATTTGGCGGGAGAAACTCGTGATCCAAACGGTGGCTGTTAGGGACTGATTTTGTGGCACATTTGGTGACCGAGAGTGATGATTTAATCGAGGTTTAGTGGTCTATAGAGTGCTGTGATGTGGCGAAGCATAGATGCCTTGATTTGGGCGAAATTGTGGACTTGGCGGATGAAATTTGTGGACCGTATGGTGGCTGATTTTGTGGCTATTTTACGGGCTTAGTGTGACAATTTAATTGAGGATTAGTGGCCCGTAATGTGCTATGCGATGGCTGGAAGTATTGGATTGAATTGGCCCGAGTTCGGTTAAGTTCGGGTTCAATTGTGGATTATAGTGCGCGCCTAGTTTGGTCCTCATGGTGGCTGATTCGGGTGATGCTTTGGGGAGTCTAATAGAGTATTTTGAGGGTATTTGTTGGCCTAGAATGACCTGCTTGGTGGCTGTCCATACCGGGATTTAATTGGACAAGGCGCGATCAATTTGAGGCTTGATTGTGTGATTATCGGGAATGATCGCATTGATCAATTGACTGGCTAAATGAGCCTTGTTGTGATTGATTTTAGGATGCCATGTTGCTTGTTTAGCGGGACTAAGAATGGAATAGCTTGGCGGGCCTCGAATGCGAGGGTTCTTGTTATCCCGGTTGTGTGGATTGTGCATGGATTGTGTGTCAAGTTGATGTCATGGCTGATTTGAATTGATTGTCTGATTGGGCATGTTGATTTATGAAATTGAATATGCGTGGTGCAAATGCGCATGATTGCATCGTGATTTGAGTAAGTGGTGCGATGCAAGTGAATGCCCATATGTGAACGTTATAGCCATGAGTTTGCATCACGAGCATTGGCACGGCATGTGCATTTACAAGTGTGCTCGAGTGACATGTGCATTGTGATCACCTAAAATGCCCTGATGCGTTTAACGCGGGGTTCAGATGAAAATTGGTGCTTGTGAATGTGTGATCACAATAAACCCTGATGCGTTTTACGCGGGGTAGTGAACCCGTCCTGAGGCGTTTAACGCGGGACGATGCCCGGATTGCCGGAAGACGGCCAACCTGATGCGTTTACGCGGGTTCGGTCCGTATATGGAGATCGGTGTTGCGCCTGATGCGTTTACGCGGGCTAGAAACACTGGGCCTGATGCGTTTACGCGGGCCAGGAAGTGTTGGATAGTGATAGACCTGATGCGTTTTACGCGGGTCGGACCTGATGCGTTTAACGCGGGTCGGAGGAGAAATTGATAAATGGCAAGTATGCTAGAGTGCAAGCGTGCGAAAATGCATTGATGAGGCGTGAGCACGCGTATGAGCACGAGCATAAGCATGACATGCGTTGTGACCAAATGATGTGTACATGTGCTGCGACCGGATCCTATGTTTTATGCTTGAATTGTAAGTGCCTAACCTGCAGGGCAAGGTGAGTGTTGGATTTGGGCCCGAGGGCCTAAGTCAATTATGATTTGCTTGGAGTGTTGATTTAGTACTCGTCAGGAGGTGCACTTTAGCCTAATTTAGGTTTAGGGAATTACTCGCTGAGATTTATTCTCACTGTTGTTGAAACCCAATTTTTCAGACCCCCAGCCCTGAGGATGGCAGGCGTATTGAAACGTTTTGGGAGGAGCCCCGGCTAGATATAGTGGTTGATCGCCGAGCCACGTACCCCGCTTTTGATTTTTGAGTGTGGGCTGTTTATGAATATTGTATATGTTTCCCGATGTCAAAACAAGTGTATATTTATCCGTGCTGGTTGTTGTATGGCTATCCTTGGTCAGGTGTATTTTAATGTACGGGTGGTTTTAATTACTTCCGCATGTGCTTTAAATCTCTGTGTTGGGTGTTGGGTCGGCGACGCGTCCTGGGACGTCGCACACAAATCGACCTTTGCGAGGGATGTGGCGCGCCGAGGAGTGCGGGGCGTGACAAAGTACTTTCCTCCTGCTAAGTCTGCCAAGATGCGTAACGATATTACTTCTTTTGTACAGATGGATGGTGAATCTCTATACGAACTATGGAGAGGTTTAAAGAACTACTAAGGCGTTGTCCGCATCATGGCCTACCAGTTTGGATGCAAGTGCATACATTCTACAATGGAGTGATGCCGAATTTGAGGTCTACCATTGATGCCGCAGCTGGAGGGACGTTGAACAATAAATCGCCTGAGGAAGCCTTTGATCTTTTGGAGGAGATGGCGGCTAATAGCTACCAATGGCCGATTGAGAGGCTATCTGCTAGAAAGTCGAGTGGAATTCATGAAGTTGGTGTCAATACTACCATTGTCGCAGAGTTTGCTGCTTTAAACAAAAAGATCGACTCAGTGTTGAAGATTCAAGGCCCAACTTGTGAATTTTGCAATGGAAGCCATGCTAGCACCGAATGTCAGGTAGGTAATCCTTTCACACATCCTCCTGAAAATACTAACTTTGTTGGAAATTTTAGCAGGCCTCCCCAGAACAATCCATATTCAAACACCTATAATCCTAGATGGCAAAACCACCCGAATTTCTCCTGGAGCAACCAAAATCAGCAAGGGCCGAGACCACCACCACCATCATTTAGGCCGCTTGAGGAGAAACAGCATAATCACCTTGAGGAGATGGTTACTAAGCTAGCTCAAACAACTCAAGACTTCATTAAAAGTGCTGATGTGAGGTTCCAAAATCAGGAGGCATCCATTCGAAATCTGGAGAAGCAGGTTGGCCAGTTAGCTAACCATTTGTCTGAAAGACCGTATGGTACCCTTCCGAGCAACACCGAGAAGAATCCAGTTGAGAATGCAAAAGCAATCACCTTGAGGAGTGGAAAAGAAGTTAGCAGAAATTTGTCTAATGAAGCAGCAAGAAAAAAGAAAGAAATCGAACCACCTGGTGTCACGCCCCGTATCCCACAAAACGCAAACATCCCACGCAAAGGTCGATTTGTTTACGACGTCCCAGGAAGCGTCGCCGACCCAACTCCCAACACAGAGCATAAGGCACATGCGGAAGCGATAATTAAAACACCCGTACAAAACAATACATGACCAAGGGTAGCAGGAACGTCGAACAATTCAAAGCCTAATAATCAAGACTTGCATTGAACTTCAAAACATATACAATGTCCACTATACACCAATACAAATCACCAAACAAAAGCGGGTCGACGGCCATTACTAACAAAATCCCTAAGTGGCCAAGGGAGCAGTCTAAGGTGGGGCTATAATAAAAAAGGGTTACTGGCCCGACCTAAAGGAGGCTAAGGCTGATCCTAGGAAACTTAATCGGGATCAGATCCTGATGACTCGGACTCAGCCTCGATTATCTCATCCTCCGAATCCATCTGCTCGACCTTGCCAACCTGTTCGGGTTCCTGCTTTATGGGCTCCGGATTCTCATATGGATCGGGTACACCAAGCAACCTCTATCAGGAGTCTGAAAAACGGGGTTTAAACAACTATGAGACGAATCTCAGTGAGTAGGCCTCCTAAACCGAAACTAGGCTAACATGCACCTCCCGACAAGCAAATCAACACAACAACGGACAATAATGTCAATCAAATGACCTAGGCCCTTGAGCCCGGATCGCTTACCTTGCTGACCCTGCAGGTTAAACAGTTCGATATAATAATCATGGCACATACGTGGCACACATTTTCACACGTACGCCATACGCATGCTCATACTCAAAGTGTTCATCTCGCATGCCATTCACCGAGTACGCACCATAACCAACATTCACTGGCACACATTTGTCATGCTTATGATGTGGTTCAATTAATGCACTCTGGCATACATCTCATTTTTAATTAGAAATTGACCCGAAGGCCACGGCCCGAAGGCTCACAACACTCCACGGCCAGCGTAAAAACGCCCCAGGCCCAGTGTCTCGAGCCTGCTACAAAGTGCATGAGGCGCAACACCGATCTCCTTACGAACCAGAGCCTGCTACAAAGTGCATGAGGTTGGTCGTCTTCCGGACATACCGGGCATCGTCCTGCTACAAAGTGCATGAGGACGGCACGACCCAAAGGCCAATAAGTGATCACACGGCACATTGCCAATTTTATCTGAACCCCGTGTAAAACGCATCAGGGTATAATTAGGTGATCACATGCTCATGACAGACACGCATTCTCGCACAATTTCGTCACATGCCCCACACTAGGCATACACAATGCGTGACCATGCAATGTCGTATAATGCAACATGAGCATTCAATTTCAGCACGGCATTTCAACAAACATGCCAAATCAACGTGCTCAAATAGCCAATCAATTGCCCATACTTATTCGCATAACATGCGCACTTGGCCAACTAGTACCATATGACCCAAAACATAATTTACGCACTTGGGCAATAAACATTCACACCAATGATTGGCCAATCACACACCGCATTGCTCGAACACGAAATCAAGCGGCATGGCATTAAACAATTGAGCACGACAAAGTACCATTCAACCACCGAGTCGCTCAAACGAGGCACCACAAAATTTAACACAATCAAGCACAATTTGTACCCAAATCAGCCACTACATGGCCCAACCATTCACACATAGCGATTCACGAACAAACCACACCTTAGCCGTACAAGGCCCAATTAAACCTCAATGGACAGCCACTAATCAGTCCGAGAGAGAGAAAAACCGGGAATATACAAAATCGGGTCCAAACTGAGCAGTTGCACAGTGACAGAAATCCATTTGAAATAAATGGTAAATCAATTCCAAAAATTATGAAATTTGGATATGTTGTACAAAACATCTCAATGAACATTTTCTGTGAAGAACTAGAGACCCAGTTCTAACCGTAAATACCTCGTTTTGACACTCCAAGTCGGACAAAATCCGATTCGCTCGGACAGCCCCTCAGGCCATCAGAATACAACTCATTGAGTACCCAAATCATTTTTGAAAGCCCTGAAATTTTTATATGTTATAACCACAAATGTCCCCAACAATGTTTGTGAAGGAAGTATTTTGAAAATAGGCCTGAAAAAATTTATAAAAATTCGAACAGACCAGAAGGTCGAGTGAACAGTAAATCGGGCAGTTTTGTTTCGGTCCAAAGATGGACTTCCGAATGACCTCAAATGATTTCCAAAAATTCCCAAATTAAAGTATGTTATACTTAAAGATGTTGGGAACAACTTTCATGAAGAACATTTCTTCAGATTCGGCCCACAATGATCACAAAGAAAATAAAAAAGTGCAGAGGTACAGTAAAATCAGTAACCCGAGAATCATTACACTTGCACCATTAAGCAAATCCAGCTCATACATCCTCTAAACCAAGTCTCCACAGTCTTAAAACCATCCCTAAATCATCACCTTAGGCCTTTAAAATCACCACAACGTCAGCCCAAATCAGCCCCCACTAATTAACCCCTAAAACTTGTCAAAAGTGCACATAATCCTAATTAAGGGTTAGGATTTCCACTCACACTAACTGAGCTCCACACCAGGCTAGCGGACGGGAAATGAGCGACCAATCACCGACGAGCGATGAAATCGGCGGCGGCGTTCCGGTGGCGTCTACGGCGGCTAGAACGGCGGACCGGCGAGTCCTTCACGCCGGTGGTCTCGGCTTGGCTGGTCTGGCGTTCCTTGGCCAAACGGAACAGAGAGAGACGAGAGGGAGAGATGGGACGGTGGGGTGATGGTGGGGGCGAACGGCGGTGGCCGGACGGTGGCACGGCGGCGACGGTTCCGGTGAGGCGCTCATGGCGAGAGACGACGAGGGAGAGAGAGATTTTCGGAAGAGAGGGGGAGGGGATCGGCCGAATGGGGGAGGGGAGGAGAGAGAAAGGGAGTCAAATAGTCTTCAATGGTCAAAAGTTGGTTGCCACATGTCGCGATCTTGCGCGTTGGACCATTTTGCCCTTTGATCCAATGGATATTATTCATCCTTACTCAATAATTGATGGGCCTTTTGGTAATTCAATAATTCTAATAATTATCCACAATGAAGCCCAAAAAATCCTCAAAATTCGGAACTCCAAAAATAGGGCACAAGGGCATTTTCGTAATTTTCCGGTCCCGGATCGAAATTCCATTTTTCGACTGCACCGACCCCAAATATGATTGGCCACTCAAAAATGACGTCGGCCTAGCAAAATAATCGCAAACACCCATAGAATTTCGACATCGAAGTTCGGATCCAATTTGGCGATCAAAATTGCTCAATTCAGAATTTTAGAGCCTCTCACTAACGGGTGGCTATTTAGGGGTTACGCGTATCGACCTAGGGTCACTCGAGTTGTGACGGATTCGATTACCGGGAGAACGCAAGGAATTATTGGTTATTCCAAGGGTCACGATCGTTCGGTTCAAGTTCGGGATTTGTTCGCCACTCGTACTCTCGGTCGAGCAGAATCACCCGCGATCCGATTGTACGCCGTTGGCCAAACCAAATCCGTCACTTTCCTAAGATCGGCCCACACTGGCCCAAAATTCTTCCCTGTCGTTTCTCGAAATCAGTGCCCGATTCGCGATCGGGTCCCCGGTCCACGTACCGTTTTCCTAGTTAGCCTTTCCCATTGGTCAGTATCTCGCGAGGGGCCAGCTCCGGGCGAGACGTACTAAAATCAGATGAGAAATAATATCCACTTCGTTAGATCCCGGAAATGGGTCGAAATTCAGGATGTTACACCTGGAGCCGACGCACCCGAAATTGAACCGTCCAAAGCTAATCCACCTCGAAGCAAGTTATTTCCGGACAATCCAAAGCCATATATGCCGCTAGTTCCATACCCGGAAAGACTTCAGCAACACAAAATAGATAAGCAGTTGTCTAAATTCCTTGATGTTTTTAAGAAATTGCACATTAATATTCCTTTTGCATATGCCTTAGCCCAGATGCCTAGTTATGCGAAATTTTTGAAGGAAATTTTGGCAAACAAACGGAAATTGGAAGATTATGAGACTGTGAAGCTTAATGAGGAATGTTCAGCTATTTTGCAGAATAAGTTACCACCAAAGTTGAAAGATCCAGGGAGTTTTACTATTCCTTGTACTATTGGTAATTCTTATTTTGATAAGGCATTGTGTGATTTAGGTGCAAGTATTAATCTAATGCCTTATTCTGTTTTTAGGAAATTAGGTTTGGGGGAAGCAAAAGCTACCACCGTATCTCTTCAGTTAGCCGATCGATCGATTAAATACCCGAGAGGCATAGTGGAGGATGTTCTAGTTAAGGTTGACAAGTTTATTTTTCCTGCAGATTTCATTGTCTTAGAGATGGAGGAGGATTTCGAGGTCCTGATCATCCTAGGCCAACCTTTTCTATCAACATGGAGAGCTCTAATTGATGTGCAACAAGGAAAATTAATTCTTAGAGTTCAAGATGATCGAGTCACCTTTGATGTGTTCAAAGCCATGAAATATCCTGCTGAGCTGAATGAATGTTTGAGAGTCGATGCAGTTGATAGGCTTGTGGAATCAATTTTTAGTAAAGCCACAATTGAAGACTCGTTGAAGGCATGCTTGTTTGGCCAAGCAAAGAAGAAGCCAAAGCTGTAGAGGTCGAGCAGTACACGAAATTTTTGGAAGCAAATCCACCTCTTCTGAGATTTAGACCACCGAAATTCGAAGAATTGGGATCGAATTTGAAGAAACCGAAACCTTCTATTGAAGAACCACCAATTCTAAAACTCAAATCTTTACCATCTCATCTTAAATATGCTTTTCTTGATGGAATGTCCTCTCTTCCAGTAATTATTTCTTCTTCTTTGACAGGTGTGATGGAGGAAAAGTTACTCCGAATCCTGAGAGATCTTAAAGGAGCAATAGGATGGACCATTGCAAATATTAAAGGAATAAGCCCCTCGATATGCATGCATAAAATATTGATGGAAGAGCAATTCAAACCGATCATCCAACCCCAAAGGAGGCTCAATCCAAAAATGCAGGAGGTGGTGAAGGCTGAGGTAATTAAGCTACTTGATGCAGGGATTATCTATCCTGTCTCTGACAGTGCTTGGGTAAGTCCTGTGCAAGTTGTTCCCAAAAAAGGAGGTATGACTGTTCAACCTAATGATGATAATGAATTGATTCCTACTAGAACAGTTACTGGATGGCATGTTTGCATGGATTATAGAAAATTAAATGGTGCCACCCGTAAAGATCACTTTCCTTTGCCTTTTATTGATCAATTATTGGAGAGACTTGCAGGGCATGAGTTTTACTGCTTTTTAGATGGATATTCTGGTTATAATCAAATCCCTATTGCACATGAGGATCAAGAAAAAATTACTTTTACTTGTTCCTATGGTACTTTTGCCTATAGGAGGATGCCTTTTGGTCTTTGTAATGCGCCTGCTACTTTTCAAAGATGCATGATGGCTATTTTTTCTGACATGATGGAAAAATATATTGAGATATTTATGGATGATTTTTCTGTTTTTGGCTCATCTTTTGTTTCATGCTTGAATAATTTAGCTTTGGTGTTACAAAGATGTAAGGAGACTAACCTTGTCTTGAATTGGGAGAAGTGTCACTTTATGGTGCGGGAAGGGATTGTGCTAGGCCATAAGATCTCTATAAGAGGAATTGAGGTGGATCGAGCTAAGATTGAAGTTATTTCAAAACTGCCGCCTCCTACCTCTGTGAAGCTTGTTCAAGGATTTTTGGGACATGCAGGATTTTATAGGCGTTTCATTAAAGATTTTTCTAAGATTGCTAGACCCCTTTCTAAATTGTTGGAAAAAGATTCTAAATTTGACTTCTCTGATCATTGTTTGCAAGCATTCAACACATTGAAGGAGAAGTTAATTTCGGCCCCTATCATGATTGCGCCTACTTGGGATTTACCTTTCGAGTTGATGTGTGACGCTAGTGACTCGGCTGTTGGAGCCGTACTTGGACAAAGAAAGGATAGAATTTTTCGAACCATATACTATGCAAGTCGCGCCCTATCTAGAGCTCAATTGAATTATGCCACAACTGAAAAGGAGCTTTTGGCGGTAGTGTTTGCTTTTGATAAATTTCGCTCTTATTTGATTGGTTCCAAAGTCATTGTTTACACTGACCACTCTGCTCTTAAGTACTTGCTTGAAAAGAAAGATTCAAAACCTAGGTTGATTAGGTGGATCTTACTGCTGCAAGAGTTTGACTTGGAAATCAAAGACAAGAAAGGGAAAGAAAACTTAGTGGCCGACCATCTCTCTAGATTGCCGAATGCCCCTGTGAAAGAAAGACCAATCCTAGATGAATTTCCTGATGAGGCACTTTTCTCTGTCAAAATCGAAACCTCTTGGTATGCTGATTATGTTAATTTCTTGGTAAGTAAGGTTCTCCCTTCTAAATTGACTTATCAACAAAGGAAGAAATTCTTTTCTGATGTTAAACACTATTTTTAGGAGGATCCTTTCTTGTTTAAGGTATGTGCTGATCAAGTTATTAGGCGATGTGTTCCCAATGAAGAAATACCTAACATTCTTTTTCATTGCCATGATGGACAGGCAGGTGGTCACTTCGGTGCCTCCAAGACTGCAGCTAAGGTTTTACAGTCTGGTTTTTATTGGCCTACACTATTTAGAGATGCATATTCTTATGTTGGTGCATGTGATAAGTGTCAAAGAACTGGTAATATATCTAGAAGACATGAAATGCCTTTAAACAATATCTTAATCTGTGAATTGTTTGATGTTTGGAGTATGGATTTCATGGGACCCTTTCCACCTTCATATGGTAATACTTATATCTTGGTTGCTGTGGAATATGTTTCTAAATGGATTGAGGCCGTAGCTTTGCCTTCTAATGATGCTAGAGTTGTGAAAAAGAATATCTTTACCAGGTTTGGCACGCCTAGGGCTATGATAAGTGATCAAGGTACACACTTTTTGAATAAGCAATTTGAATCACTTTTGCATAAATATGGTGTGACACATAAAGTAGCTGCTGCTTATCACCCTCAAACTAGTGGTCAAGCTGAAATTTCTAATAGGGAGATAAAGAGAATATTGGAAAAGACAGTGAATTCTAATAGGAAGGATTGGGCAATTAAACTTGATGATGCATTGTGGGCTTATAGAACTGCTTATAAAACTCCTATTGGTATGTCACCTTTTCGACTTGTTTATGGAAAAGCATGTCATTTGCCTGTTGAGTTAGAGCATAAAGCATATTGGGCAGTACGTTTTCTTAACTTCGATATGCAGGCAGCTGGTGAGAAGAGATTGTTGCAATTGAATGAGTTGGATGAGTTCCGCAATGAAGCATATGAGAATGCCAAGATCTATAAGGAGAGGACCAAGAGATGGCATGATAGGCACATCTTAAGAAAGGAGTTTCATATAGGTCAAAGAGTTTTATTATATAACTCACGTCTTCGTCTTTTTCCAGGTAAGTTGAAGTCAAGATGGTCTGGACCTTTCACTATCACCAAGATCTTCCCTTATGGAACAGTTGAAGTTGTTAATGATAAGGAGGAAACCTTTGAAGTGAACGGTCAACATCTCAAGCCCTACTTTGGAGGTGGTTTCGACTCCCAGACAGCCACCATTGCTTTGCTTTCGCCTGCCTAGAAGAGTTGGAAGAGTTTGGCTGCAAACTATAAAGCAAGCGCTTTTTGGGAGGCAACCCAAGCATTTTAATTTTTTGCATTTTAACTTTATTTATTTACTGCATTCGAGAAAAAAAAAATTGCATCCTCCCAATAATAGTTTCCCCTAATTACCTGTTTTATTTTTCTAGGGACCTATCTTCAAGTTTTCTCCAAGCTTTCTACCCCAAATACCCCTATGGCATGCGTTCATCATATTCTAGGGGAGTTTCTCTATCTTAATTTTTTTTTCCAGCATTGAGGACACTGCTGCATTAGAGTTTGGGGGTGGGAGATAAAATTTTTGCTGGAAAATTTTCGTGAAATCTTTGCTTAATTTGAAATTTGGATGCAATTTTCGAAAAAAATGTTGTTTAAAAGTGGGATTGATGTGTGAGTTAGTCTTGATCCTAAGCATGTAGTCCATATTTCGAGCACTAGTCTTTACTTTTTGAGTTATGTGTACCTAGAGAAGATTTATGTGAAGTATGTGATTCTCTTATAACTCACCCAGATCTTAGAATTTATCTGATTTTCTCTCTAGGCGAAATTCTAGGCTAAACTCAATTAAGAAAATGATTTAGGCATGCATTGGATCGTTTGAGCCTTTCAAGCCAACCTTGTTTATTTATCCTTAGTCACCCCATTGAGCTTTATATTGCCTAAATTTCTTTGGATACCGTTATAATGTAGCCTGAGCTTATTGACATCAGTTTTCCCTATACCCTACAGACACGGATTCTTGATGCAAAAAAAAAAAAGGAGAAAAGTGTTTGAAAAAGAAATATGTGTATAGTTAGGAAATATTGTATCTTTAGTACTGCTTTTACGGATCCCCATATCCAACTTTCAACTTGAGTGAGCCTTTTGGATACTCAATGGGTTGGAATTGCACTATAAAAGGAGGGACTTAGGGAGGCACTTCGCCGTAAAGCATGGAACGAGAAGCAATGGAAAAAAAAAGAAAAAAAAAAGAGAGAGAAGGTATGTACTGCTGTTGAATCCAGAAAACAAATTGAGCTATGGAATTGATGTGTCTGTAGGGTAAGTTGAGCTTAAACATATCTTTGTCAAACCCTTAGCCAAGCCACATTATAAACTTATTAAGACCTATTGATTCTTGGTTGAGCTTATGGTCTACATTAGTGGAGAGAGGAATGAATGGCAAACTTATGAGATTTGGTTAAGTGGATTTAGAGTTTGGGGGCTTACATATCAACGTGGATTTATCTAGGTTGCATATAAGTTGAGGAGTTGAGGATTACACACACACAGATTGCATGTTTAGGGTTAAACTTAACTTATGCATTGATTCTAATGTTTTTCGTTGCGAATTCGAGCAACTATGGTTGAGTTTGGATTTGTGTTTTTAGTTTTGGTTTTGCTCGAGGACTAGAAAAATGTTAAGTTTGGGGATATTTGATAATTCTATTTTATGTAGAGTTTATTTATTATTTTAACTTAATATTTGCTTAGTTTTAATTGAATTTGATGCCTACTTTATTTATTTTAATTAATTTTTGTAGGTAATTGAAGTTAAAGGAAGCTCAGGGACTAATTTTGTAATTTGCCGGCTTTCCACACGTTTTGTTCTCCTAAGCTGCGTGAAAGTATCCATAACAATCCAATTGTTCCTAAATCGTGTAGAAGCTTCCCAAATTGGAGATCAAACCTATGCAAATCTGAAATCAAGAATAATCAAGCCTATTTTGGGAAGAAAATCAAAGTCCAAGCTAAAAAAGGAGTTTTATTATTGAGAGGAGTCCTAATTTGGAAGAACCTTTAATTGCAATCCTATTGTGATTAAGGTTTCTTGAAAAACAAGAGGAGGTATAAAAACGTGATTTCAGAAGAGAGAAAAAGAGGAAGAAGAAAGAGGAGGCGACAAAAAAATCAAGCATTTGATTATTCTTGGTGAATCTGTTCTAGTTCTTTATCATGTTTAGTTTAGTTATTGTTTTTAGTTTAATGTTCATTA